TGTCCACCGCGACGCGATCGGCGAGGCCGGCCGCCTGGATCGCGTCGAGATAGGCCGTCGCGGCATCCGTCCAGAGCAGGACGTGGGCGCGGTTCGTGGCGGTCATGGACGGAAGCTCCTCAAAGGCTGGCACGTTTTCGGGCACGAGTGTGCGGCGGCTCGCGACAGGAAGGCCAGCATATCCCGCGCTTGCCTGCCCTGCGGCATCGGCAAAGCCCTAAGCAAAAAGGGGCCGGCGCAGGCGCCAGCCCCTTCCAGGCGTCTTGTCCGATGGGAGGCGTTACAGCCCCTGCCCGCCGGCCACCGCGATGGTCTGCCCGGTCACCCAGGAGGCAAACGGCGAAGCGAGGAACAGGGCCACGTTCGCGACCTCCTCGGCGTGTCCCATGCGTCCGAACGGGATCGAGGCCAGCGTGCCGTTGTAGAGCGCGGGATTGTCGGTCTTGCGCTTGTCCCAGACGCCACCCGGAAACTCGATCGAGCCGGGGGCGATGCAATTCACGCGGATGCGGTCCTTGGCGTACATCGCCGCCTGCGTGACCGTGTAGTGAATCACCGCCGCCTTGATGGCGCCGTAGGGCGGCTGCCGCGCCGCCGGATGATGCGCGGAGATCGACGAGATGTTGACGACGTTGCCTTGCGACTTCTTAAGCTCCGGCAGCGCCTCCTGCGTGGCATGCACGATCGAGAGCATGTCGACCGCGAGATTGTCGGTCCAACCCTTGTCGTCGTCGGACGAGCCGAAGGCCGAGGCGTTGTTGACCAGGAAGTCGACGCCGCCCAGCGCGCCGATCGCCTCGCGCACATAGCCGCGCACCGCATCGCCCTTGGCGAGGTCGGCGCTGGCGGCATGGCGTCTTGTGGCCATGCCTTGGCAAGCTCGGCGCGGAGTCTCCTCGAGTGTCTTGGCGTCGCGCGCGCAGATCGACACGTCGCCGCCACAGGCCGCGAAGCCCATCGCAATGGCCCTGCCGATGCCCCGGCTGCCGCCGCAAACGATCGCCTTCTTGCCCGTGAAATCCAGCTTCATCGTCTTTTCTCCTCTTGTCCGGCCTACGGTGGCGGCGGCCGTTCCACGAATCAAGCCGGCAGTCCCGGTGACCGGAACTCGCCACTCACGCGAGAGTGACGACATTTTCATGGAGACCGTGCACATTCCACTGCATCATGCCAAAAAGCCGTCACACGATGGCGGACAGGGAGAGCAGGCAGTTTGCGGACGATTGGAGCGCTTGTGGCGGCAATGCTGCTCCACCTGTTTTGCGTTGCTGCGGCGTTTGCCAATGAGCCCGTCACCGGCATCGACATTCTCGTCCGCAACAAATCGGACGGGCGGGTGATCATCGAGACCGTCACCGACAGCCGCGGATCCATCGTCGTAAAAGAGATGCGGCCCGGCCCCTACAGCGTCGAAGCCGGCGGCAAGCTGCCCCTGGCGCTCATCAAGCGCAGCGGCTCCTGGGGGATCGTGCTGGTCCCCGTCGCGGCCAAAACCGCAAAGCCGCAAAGCCATCGAGCCAAGCCGTCCGCAAAGGGGATGCAGGTCGACATCGTCGTACCCGAAGGAACCCCCATTACCTACACGGTTATCGTCACCTACTGACGCCGAAGCCGGGAAGGCTTCGCATTGAACAGCGGAATGAGACCGCTAGACTGCCTCCCAATAAAGAAAGCACAGGAGGCTACGTTCAAGATGACCAAAGTCATGATTCCGCGC